GCCGCCGCCGCCGCCCCCACACTCCTCCGCTAGAGTTGTTTGCGCCACCGCTCCCGCCGCCGCCGCCGGCACCGCTACCGCCGACGACTGTCGTGCTTCCTTGCTGGCCGATGGTCGGCAGGGCCTTGCCCGACTGACCGGGGTCCCCCACCGAAGTTTTATGCGCGAGCTGCGGGGCGGGGGCGATAGATAGATTGGCGCTAGATTCAACATTCGGAGTTGGGAAATTTTGTGGCGCATAAGCTTCGAAACGGATGGTTGCGTATGTTGGGGAGAGGGTGTGGTTCTTCTCATTGTGATCGAACGTAAGAATCGGATGGAGCGGCGGAAGCTCTTCTTCCAAGAGCGAAATCACAACTTGTCAAAAAAAAACTCCACACCTGAGGGGCCCGGCCGGTGCTAGCTACCGTTGCCGGGTCGCCCCCGCCTGCGGCATCTTCCGTCGTCCCCCTCGCTAGCTTCGAGGTCGATTCAGCCTGTGCCTGCCAATCGGCACGTATTGGTCGAAGAAACAGGAAGAGCCATTCTTTTTGCAGGCTTGCTTCAAAGATGGGGCTTGTCGGCTGTTCCGCTTCTTTCAAGTCGACGGTGAACAACCTACCCAGAGGCGACTAGCTGGTTGCGCATGCTTGTTAGCCTGACACGTGTTATAGGTAGCGCTTTGTCAGAGGGAACATTTCGGAAGGTACTCCTTGTTTGCCTAAGGGAGAAGACTCTAAGACGATTACAAGTGCAACCTGGTCTTACAATTTTGAGAGCGAGGTACGGTAGTAGCCCCTGGGCATCACTTCTTGGTGTTGCCTTTACCATTCGCAGGTCGACAGGTGTAGCGCGTAACAGAGCTATTGTAACAAGTCGGCAGAAGACGAAGACGACTACTCTGTAGTGCGAAGCACGATAGCCCCTGGGAGTCATCCTTTGTACGTTGCGGTCGCCTACCTTTCTTAGGTCGACCTCTCGGATCTCTCGGAAGTATGGGTGCCTCAACGACTCCCTGGCGGTGCAGCGATCTGACCAGTCGTACCTCAGCAGCTGCGGCAAATCAAGTCAAATCAGGGCGGAAGCAAAAGCTGAAGTGAGCGACTAAACCGTTGTGGAAATAGGAGTGGGTGAGCGGGGGGCTTGTTGTTTCTTCCCTCAGCCACACGGTCATAAGCTTCTGCGTTGTTTCCCTTTCGGAGCCGGGGAAGAGGTGGTGCTTAGTCAACAACAATGGGAGGCATTGCAGCGTTCCGAGCAGCTTGAGAGAGGGGAGAAGAAGCGAGGTACTGAGTTGTTCTCCGAAAAGGCTGTGTGCCGTGCTAGACAGCCGACACCGACCAATGTAATTCCTCAGCGTTAAATACCCAGCTGCAGAATTACGCTGTTGTTGCTGTTGTTGGTTGGGTGGTGGTGGTGGTGGTGGTGATGCAGCTGCTGCTGTTGCTGTTGCTGTTGCTGTCATCAGTGTCTCCGCTGCTCCGAAAACAACTCTGACCCTCCCCTAAAGCCTTCCTTCGCATTCCATGTTCCGTGCTACTCCGCCCATAGATGCCCTGGCTTCTGTGTTGCAAAGTATTGTCCGACGGACCGCCAAGAACAGCCATGTCTCTGTCCCTCTAGCTCACGCACCGTTTCTGGTCAACAGGGTTGACGCGCAAGCCCAAGATAACCACCAAAGCCGCACGACTGGCTCTACGGTAGCCGAACAATGCGCAGCGTACTGCAGCACAGCACAGCGCAACATTCAGGATCAGACAGAATACTTGTAGTCCAATCTCTTTCTCTCTCTCTCTCCCTCCCTCCCTCCCTCCCTCCCTCCCTCCCTCGTTCTCTTTTCTCTCTCCCTCTCTCTCCCTCTGACCTTAGTGATGAGGTCGACGCACTCCGTCGACGCGTGGGGTATCAGCTGCGCCACGCCGATGCCCTTCTGCGTCGCGAAGTCGAAGTCTACGTGCGCCGCCCCGTTCTGCTTGAACTTCCCCAACACCTCGCCGGAAGGGTTTCCTAACACCTGTTTCCGTTTGAGGATACAGTAAAAAGGCGTGTTTTGTGGGAAGGGGGTAGGGAGGGGGGCGGGTGCACACTCGGCAGCCACTCTCAGCGTGCTTACCCCGATGTACCAGCACCCTGTACAAAAATATATATATATTGTCTGGATCATTGTTGCTTGAACCGAAAGCGCTTGGTCGATTGGTGGCTGCTAAACTATCGGGTGCACCTAAGTATTAAGACCCCGCGGACAGTACATGGCAAGGGGGGGGAAACAAAACCACGAATGGGAGATGTCGGAGATTTGATAAATACACAAATAACCGTCTTGGAGGTCCCGTCCGCGTGGCCCTTTCTTTGGCCGCAAGCACCCCTTTCCCTTTGCTCTGGAGTGATGCGGCCTGGCCTGCACAAGTCAAAGCACTGCTCCCCTCTACAAGGGGAGGTGCCTCAGTTGCAGCAGTGCTACTGGCTCTCACCTTGTGGACTCTACCGATCTGGTCCAGCTCGTTGGTCCCCGGGAAGAGGGGGTACAAGCTGGTTATCTCAAAGAAGACGCAGCCCGCCCCCCACTGGTCCATCTCCGGGCCGTAGTAGCCATCCGTGAGGAGACACTCCGGAGCTCGGTACCACCGAGTAGAGATGTACTCCGTGTAAGGCTGATTTTGACCCCAAGGGAGAGTCGGGGGGGGGGGTGGGGGGTGGGGGGGTTGTAGACAAGGCGACGGGCGGTCAAATTGCGGAGGGATTGGCAGATTCAAAGGGGTTTTGGTGGCTGCGGTAGGTGTGCCTCGTTGAAGACTGTTTTTTCCCACCGAGTTCTTGGAGCTGGTTATGGTGTTTTGAGAAGACCGGCCGGTAGGGAAGGGCAGGGGCGGGAGTAACAGCAGCGTGCCGTAGTGTGAAAAATTCTTCTGTCTACATTCGCCCCCCTGAGTACCACCAACAAAACACGTGGCTGTTTTCGTGCACAACCTGCTTCGGGGCAGAAACAAAGAACAACAGCAGTGGTGCTCGCAACGATATCCCTCAGATTTCAACGGACTTCACGGCCCGGAGTGTAACCTTCGTGATGGAGATCCGTTAAAAACCGAATCAAGTAGATACACACAGATGTGTGTTTCCTCGACAACTAACTTTGGTTCGTTTTATCAATCAATGTCGTGCCTGCTTGGAGTAGATGCCTCTACACGAGCCGAAATCCGCCAGCTTTAGGCCCCTGCCCAGGTCGTTTGTGCTCTCGATCAGGATGTTCTCCGGCTTGATATCCCTGTGGAAGATCCCTTTCCGGTGCATGTGATCCAACGCCTTCAGCAGCTGGTACATGTAGCTTCGCACCAGCTGCTCGTCGCACACGAGACGCGTTCCGTGGTTGTGCACGGAGTTTAAGGCAGAGCAGAGGCAGGGAAGGACTATTTAGATACATACATCGCTTCTCAAGCCGGCGACTCGTGTTTCTGCTCGGGTCAACTTCTTGGATTTTGGAAGACGGGTGGCCAAACTTTGGTCTTTTTGCAGGGCGAACGACTTGTGTCTCAGCTGGATACGAAAGCGCTTGGATGAGAGTTGACACGAAAACTTCGCGTGGGTGCTGAGGAGTAGGAACAGCAGGGGGAACGGCAGTAGCAGCAACGACATCAACAGCAATAGTACCGTGCTGTTTACAGAGTTCTGGTGATACATTATGCGTTGTTTCAGTAGAAGATACGACGAAAGAAGCTCATTCAGTTGCCCAATAGCTTTCCATCGAAGCGACTCCTCCTAGATTGCTTTCTTTGCTGCGGGGCGACAGATCTACGTACCTGGCCATTGAGGTAGTGTCGTCTCCCTCGAATGAGCTCGTAAAGGTTAGCGTCCATGAGCTCAAACACAAGCGCAAGTCTTCCGGTGGGCTGGTCGTACAGCACTTCCTCCAGAGTGATCACGTGCTGGTTTGGGCTAAGTCGCCTCAATGCCTGGATCTCTCGCAAGTTGTTCACCTGTTTACGTTGTGAGCGATTTGGTGTTTCCGTTGCTGCCGTTGCTGTTGTCGATGACGATGGCGGTATTTCGTTTGATAAATGGACGATGCGGGTCGAAATTTTGGCATGACGGGGAACCGCTGGAAGCCATTCTTCCATCTGCATTTCTCCGGGGACCTTTGTTGTTGTCGACCTAGATATTGGCGTTTAGTCTACTATTTATTGTCGTTTGTGTGTTTTCGTCCTATTTATTATGGCGACAGTCCCCCCATTTTTCGTGGTGAGACGCGTACTACACTTTTTGTAGTGCATGAACTTAATTAACCGTGGTGGTGAACGCATTGAGCCAGACAGTAATTATCGCTCCAGCGTGTAGGCACCACCTCCGACCCAATGCGCATGCACCACCTCCGACCCAATGCGCATGGCTACCGGCATTGCTCCTATTCGCCGATGACGATTCGTTTTCCACCAAGAGCTTTCGTGCTGTATCGACATGCATCCTCTCGTACATGTATGTCCTGCCCAAACTAATAGTAAATAAGAATCAAATTAGATGCTGTCAACGTGCTATTCAAGAAAAACAAGCTCCTACATGTTGTAAGTTCCATTTTGGTTGACACGGAACGAGTGCGTCCAAAGTCTCAGGGTATGTCTACAGAATATGGCTTACATTTTGCGGCAACGGTGAAGAATCGGAATCGAGCATCTAACAAATGGCGTAATACTATGCGTGCCCCCGGTCGTGGAGTACTGCAACAAAAGTACGACATTCGCAACCGGGGCGTACTACTGTAGACTACTGGAGGTGTACCAGCACCGAATACTGTCTGTCCTACATGCACGCACAACACGTATCGAGAACATTGATATTAGACTATTCAGCTTTTGTCGGCACACCAGGGATGTGACAACGTATTTTGAACCGGATACATCAATGACCAGATCGTCCCGAGGTCTTCCGTTAGGAGGAATATTAGCGCTAGGAGGAAGATTAGCTAAGGGAGACGTTGGTGTGTATGTAGTCCATCAACATCTCGGCGGGTAAAAATGGATACCCTGTTCAGCTGTGCGTCTTATACGTCATCATCGTCATCATGACTGTAAGGAGTTTACCGCGTGGTAGCCCACATATTGTATGACGGATCGGTGGGCGCAGTCCGTGATGATGTGGAGTTTTCAAGTCTAGCTGGATCAACAAGCTCCGTCATGCGATCCTAGCTGTGTTCGAGCAACACACCAATTTGAAGGCGTCTCCGCTTCGACCTCTGTGTGCAGTTCTGCATTCTATATACGGGAAAAAAGAAAAGTATTTTGCTGTGACTATATCGTACTGCTGTACACATCCTCTTCTGGACCGATCCTGTGCACCTCCGTTGAGACGGCGGCTCACCTGATCAATACTGTCGAACCTGTTCTTCATACACTTGATGGCATAGTACTTCCCGTCCTTGACGTTCTGCGCCTTGAGCACCTCGCTGAAGGTCCCCTCTCCCTTTTTGGCTACCAACCGGTACTTCCTCATCTTGCTGCTGCCGCTGGTACTGCCGCTGGTGCTGCTGCTGCCTCTGCTGCTGCAACCACCGTCTCAGCCCCTGAGGCTAGCTCCACTTCGGACAGGTTCAAGCACTTGAGCCAGCTAAACTCCCTGTGCCTGGTTCCCGAGCACGGGGACGCGCTACTCTCAGTGCTAGACAGCGGACGTTGTATTTAGTTGTCACCCGCTGTTGTTCGGTCTCTGCAGCTCTGGACCTGAGGGGCATCCGGTGCTGCTCCGCCTTGTCTGTTGGTGTGCACAAGATCCTACGGCGGATACATTTCCTACTCCGGCTTCCGTAACAGGATACTCCGCATCAAAGGCAATCGTTCGCGTGCTGCTATGCGGCAGGCGTTAAGGTCGTGTGTGGTGTGTTCCTTGCTGGCGGGTCTGCTGCCGCCGCGCGCGTTGCGTGTAGACCGTTTTCTCGCGGCGCGATAGGTGCCGGTTCAAGAGGCCGCTGGCCACTGGCGTCGTTGGATCTTGTATATCACGAGATCGGGGCAACATTAAATACCCAACAGCCATGGGCAGCAGGCAGCTACAATATCCAACGTAGGCGATGGAGGAAGGGGAAGTAATTTGGCATTAGCATCCAGTGTGGACTCGCTTTTTCGCCCAAAAGCTCACGGTGAGTGGTGGATCCTTGTCGCCGGTTGGTTGTGTCCAGCAAGTATTCTGTGCTGGAAAATGCCTACATGCAGTATTAAGGAATAATAAAAAAAACACACACAGAAAGACTACCCATTCGAGATTACCCACAGTCGAACGGGATGTGGTGGAGTCTTTTCAGTGAGTGAAGGGAAACCGGCTGAGTACTGGACTTATTTCGAGTCTTTTAAAGTCTATACACTGATGATTTATACCAGTGATGCCAGCTGGTGCTAAGTTGCAGTATCTACTGCGTTGCACTGAGAGAATGATGAAAGGAGACTACTTCTTTGCGACTTGAACAGGTAAATGTATACAAGTCTACTGTAGTCTACGGCAGTACCGTTCGACTAGACTGGTCATCATGCTACAGCATTCTATACGGCCTCTGTCCCATGCCCGAAGATAAAGCTTAAGACTGTTGTGTAGGAACTTACTTGTTGTACAGTTTACTGTCTGGTTAAGGCTCGGAGCGAGCACCCCTCCGGTGCTTAACAATGGTATGCAGAACCGCCTGCCTGCCCGTCAGGCCAGGCAACTCGCCTGCTAAGAATATGGTATGTACATTTTTGGGCCTACATTTTTATGTTGGTCGTCAAGTTCCAAGTCCCCAAATTGTGCCCCCACCATCAGTCTTATTAGCGAAACAATTTGGGACAACCGCAATCGGTGGAAGTCCTGGCAACAATATCAGCAAGCAAGACGAGGATCGTACAAGGGATTGGACGCTAGTTCTCTGTACCTTGAATGGCACTCTACTCTACAGCATTTATGTAGACTACTTGTAGACGATATGAAGACTAGACTACAGTAGTCTACATATATACTGTCGTCTAAGGAAATAACGATGCGCTGTGGGACTCATTGTTGTTGTTGTTGTTGTTGTTGTTGTCTTCACATTAAAAACCGTTCCTCTCTCTCTCTGCCCAGTACCTTCTTCTGTCCGTACTAGTCTAACACTTGACAGGGGTCGATTCCCGTGGTCACAGGCTAACTTACCCAAAAAAGGTATACGAAAATAAAATGGACCCGAAGGGTCAGCAAGCCAATAAAAGACAACGACAGATAGTCTAGGCCACTCCGCTCGCCTCAACACGCTCTGCGAGGTAACCCTAGATTGGAAAAAGAAAGAAAAAGAAAAAGTTGGAGAATAGTAAACATTTATATTCTTGCACCAGAGCAGGCCCCTGTGGACAACAGGCCAACCGCTAAATATGGAGGAGAGACAAGATCACGGTTTCCCTGTACGGAAAACAACTATGGCGATTTCGAGAAAACAAATGCAACAACAACCCCGCTCTCCTACTCGGAGAAAAGACAGAACGATCCGGATCGATCTCTCGCAGGTACGTTATGTCCTAAAGTGTACATCGGGTTTAGTGTTGTTTTTCCTCCGGATGGTGTGTGTAGAATCCTGAACAGTTCTGGTAGAGTTTTGTGGAGAGAGCGTTTGGGGGCCTTTCTGTTTTTCGGCTACGGGTGAAAATACCTTCGGGGGGAGGTTCAAAGAAAGGTCGAAAGCTAGAGCAACAGCAACAGTGACAGATGTTTTGTGGCGGGTACGCGGAAAAGATTATGTTACACAGCTTGTTACACTGAGGATGTCGGCCGGAAATCACGCCAAAATCCTCTGATGCGGGAGCTTGAAGTTACTCTGAGTTGCTTAGAAATCGATTGAAGGGGGTAGACACTGCTGTAGCGATTTCGTTGTTGTTAGTGCTGTTGTTTTGCTACGCCTTTGTCGTTACCAAGTTTGTCGTCACCGCTATTACAACTCTACCCAATACGTTCCTTCTTGGCTAGAAGAAAACGTTGTTCTATGTACATGTACGCTTGTTGTTCCGGCTAGAGTTTGGTCAAGGGAGATGAGACGAGACGATTCACATTCTTCGATGTAGCACACGTATCAATAACCATACGTCGTGCCTACACGCACACGCCGCCGGCCACGCTCTCACGTTTCCGGAGCGCCTTAGACGTGTCTCCCGATTCTTCAATTGCGGAGAACGTTTAGCGGTTCAACGCCCCTCGACACATCAGAGCACGCAACTTAGCGACAATAAGTTTCCAACCTGTCAAAACAATCGCTGTACAAAAATAAAAACAGTCCACAGCTAAGCCTCGGACACATTTCCCAAGAAAACTCTCTTTCGTATTCTGGCGTACAAGGGCCTAACCGTGTATCATCTCTCTGGTTTCCCGGCGGCCTTAAAGTGCAAGTATGGCGTGGTGAAGGCGTGCGCGAGAGACATGGGGTGGTCGATAAGCGAGGGGAACAAAGGACGCAGTGAAGAAGGGGGTAGCGTGGCGGGGGGTGGGCGCTGGGACGTGTACTGGACAGATACCTCGGTATCGCTGCAGGTGAGGATGCTTCTCAAGAGCGGATGTAAGCTTAGCCTTCCACTTTTCCTTTCATTCTGTCCCCGTCGGACTAGTAGAGCTCTTTCTTTTTGTGTGCAGTTTTGACATTCATGCGTCTCGTCGTGTAACACATCTCGACCGGGCTTGCTCCTGGGCAAGGTGGAAACTATGTAGTCGGAAACGCTTCGGCGTACGGGCATCTACCCTGCGGTGCTTGCATGTGACGCACGTTGTTCTGGCAAAAGTATTGGCACCCATTATTTCGAATTACTGCTGTGTTGTCTCGTTTAATGACGTGCTTGGTGTTCTTGTGATGGTCGTCGCTCTATAGTCTTGCGGTCATTTCGACTTTTGTCGGCGCCTTGGAGATTTCTGAAATCATCTAACCAACGACCACCACCAAGCTCTTGCACAAGCCGTTTTTCAAAGGTCAAAACTCTCACGAAACGTAACAAGTACAAGAAGAGACTTAGCATGTGATTGATTGGGTTGTCACACAGCAGTTGTCGAAATTTCGAGCTCGAAAACCAACGAAAGCACTTGCTTGCTCATGACTTGTGTGTCAAAACCATAATAACATTCAACTATGGACTTGCAACAACGAGGAGGACAGAGAGTGATGCGGATGCGAGGACTGCAAAAGATCAATCACTTCCCTGGAATGTGTGCCATCTGTCGGAAAGGAGATTTGGCGAGGAGCCTCAGCAGGATGCAGGTATGATACGATGAGTAGGCAACAGCTACCAGTTATTCATCACGGATTCCCCACCGCTGATCGCGAAAGCGGAGCGTACTTGTTTCTTGCCGGAAGCGTCTCTTCTTCCGTCGGCTAAAACCCGCCAGCCGCAGAGCTGTGTGTGCTTCGGCACGAGTGTTCGTTGAATACTTTCTCGACAAGGAGATTCAGAAATAACTCCAGAAAAATGGGTACCATTTATTTTTCTGAGCCCTCGCCAGCCCGAAGAATAGCGGCGCCCTCTTGGCTATGTCTCTTTTGTCGCCCACATTTGTTGACCTTTCATTTCGTTCCGCCATTTGTTTGCCAGCGCGAGTTTCCGGAGGAGTACGCGTTTTCCCCGAGAACTTGGGTTCTCCCCGCTGACCTAGCGGACTTCAAAGTGAGCCAATCCCACACGTTTTCGGTTTCTACTGCCCCGAGGCCTTTCTTCGTTTGGTCCCAAACGTTGTCAGCTTCTGGTGTAGAAGCCCAAACCATTTTCTGTTGGCCCAACAATGTTTCTCGGTTCTGTCGGGCATGGCGTGTAGGCACAGAACAAGCGGAAAGACACTGGAAACGCGACAAAGCTTGAACAATTCGCAACATTCACGAGTCGCGGCTGTGGGCGGGGTGGGAGAACGAATGGATGCGAACTGTGAGGGCATTACGTTCTTAAATTTATCCGAAAAAGGAATGGGACGCACTTGGATGAGCTGACACACACTTGAAGAAGTAGGCAGGACGACAAGCAATGGTTAATGGTGGTGTCTACACGGGGCTGCTTCTTGACTCTACTCCCCTACTCACAATCCTCCCCTTAGGAGGAGATTCTGACCGTAAACGCGCGAGGGATAAAGAAAAAGGGCAAGAAACCAAGGACCCGAAAGAACAACGTCAAGGGGGACGACGACAACGACGGGGACGACGACGTCAACAGTAGGAAGAACGGGAGAGCAAAACGTGGCTACTACATCGTCAAGCCTATCGGGGGCTGCCAAGGAAAAGACATTTTCCTCACCAGCGGCTGGAAGCGAGTTTCCACCGCAAATCAGGTATCTGATGTGCACCGACTAACGACTACCACTCTTTCGCAGGAAAACAGATGTACGCTTGCATACACGTACAGGTCTATACGTATCCTGTCGAACGTCGGTTCTAGCTCTCGACTCTTTGACCAGCAGATGAACTCGAGTGATGCTCTTGCTGTTCTTGCGAGAGCGAACTACGTTCGTCCCCTGACCGTTGTTTTATCTAAAGCGAGGGCACCGAGAATCAGACCCTACGGCGGAGCAAACGCCGTAGACTTTTGTGAAGCCTTCAGAACGTACTCACTAACACGTTGCCCCGGGTCAGCAGTAGGAACGACCTTGGGTACGCTTCCTCCTTCAACGCATGTCCCTGATTTCCGAACCCAGGGATCGTGCCTTGGTACAGCCCTTTATTAAATTCAATATCTTCAGTCCGCCCTAGTCTATTGTTTCACGACGTCTAGACGCGTGCCCCCCCCCCTCTCTCGCTTGCTTGTTGGTGAGAATTTTGCCTCCAGTCGTTTCGCTGCACTTCGTGGGCCTGCCCTTTAGGGTTAATCCTTGGCCATGTGAAGTCATCTCTTGGCTTTGACCCGCACAGAGAATAGGAGATATTAGACAGATGCCCGGGACGGCTATCAGTGAAAATATACCACCCACAACAATGGCAACAACAACAACGACGACAACAACAATAATAACAACCACGACAACCACGACAACATTTACCATACTAGGAGCCCGCGGTGGCTCAGCGCTACGTGTCGAACCCCCTGCTGATCGACGGATACAAGTGCGACCTCAGAGTGTACGTCCTGGTTACCTCGGTGTGCCCCTTGAGGGTCATGCTGCACAAGAGGGGCCTGGTTCGGCTGTGCACCAGCACGTACCGCCCCCCCAGGAATGGAAACCTGGTGAGTGGACGGCTACGCTACCTGAGTCTCGGGGGGCGTTGCTACGAATGGTAGATGTAGTTCTTCTCGTGACAAATATTCCGTTAGTCCCCCTTCTGTCCCCGACGAGAGAAGCACTAACAAAGGCAGGGTCACAGGAACGAGTGGCGATCGCTCTCACCCAAGATGCGTTCTCTACGCCCCCCCAAGACAACTACGGCGAGCTCAACCAGCTTGCACCCTTTTCTCTCCCCGGTTAAAACGGGAAACCCACGACCGCCGCGAGGCGCGCAAAGCCGTGAATCCTCCATCCCCGGTCTCGCTCTCTCACGCCACACTCTTTGCCCCGCAGCGGAACACCCGGATGCACCTCACCAACTACGCCATCAACAAGGGGAGCGAAAACTTCGTCCCTCCAACGGGTGCTGCCGGACCCCTTCCTAGGACAGAAACAACAGAAACAACAGCAACAACAACGACAGCAACAACAGAGGACGAGGAGGAAGATGGAGACGGCGACGATGGATGTGCGCAAGCAGTCGCAGAAGAAGACGAGATCCATGTGCACCACGTATGCCACGTTTTTAGAGGGTTCATTTTCGTTTCGAAGGGGTTTCGTCTTAGCCCTCGCCCTCTTGAACCACCGCAAGGATGGCACGTTCTCGACGGGCACGGAGTGTTGAGGGTTTCGATTAGGCTACGCGGCAGCGATCAACCACGACGGCGCACTGTCTGTCTGTCTTTTGTTTTTATCGGCTATTCTGCCGAGGGCGTCGCGTTGTGCGCAGTCATGTTGCACGTTCTGGAAAGACAGGATTTGGGTCGCCCTATGTTGCCGTTGCATCGGCAGTGAGGCGGTAAGTGGACAGCACTACGTGAGGTGGTAAGTGGACAGCACTACACGTCCCCTTGTGAGTCGTAGCGTCGTGGTTTCCTCTCCCAACTTTCCCGCCCCTCCTTTCCGCCCCTTCTTCTGCGGCCACCCCTATTCCAGGTTCTGATGTCAAAAACTCTTGAGAATAAAGATGTACCGTCGCTGCGGGGACACAACGCTAGAAGTAACGGCGGCAGCAGCAGTGATGCCACCCCCGACGGAGGCTATGGGTGGACCAAGGGTTGCACAAGGTGCGCCTTGCCGGTGTGTTCGAAAGTTTCAACAACGCGGTGCTCAGCAGTTTTGGAGACATTTTTTTCCACGGGGACAGTGGATATCAACGGTGGAAGCGCAGAGTGGATGGGCGAGGGTAGGAGAGGATTTGTCATAATTCGCGTGCTTGATTTGCCTTTTTGTCCATTGGTGACCGTTGACCCCGCACTCTCTCTTCCGGGCTGAGCGCGCTAGTCCCTCCATGCTAAAAAACTTGGCTCTGTCGCAAGGGTTCGGGGTCTTGCTCTTGTCACTCCTGCCTCGAGACTCTCCGACCAACCCCGACATTTTCTCTGGCACCGACGACAATGACGCCCCCCCTCTAACGGGCACGGGAAAGAGCAGCGATGGCGACGACGGCATACCCCGCGGCGGAGATCGCAAGGAGGAAGGAAAGAGAGGAGCTAGCAAGCGCAGCCTCGAGTGGTTTTTCGGGTGGCTGGAAGAGGGGGGGCGAGACTCCGCTGCGCTCTGGCGAGAGGTGGCCGACCTTGTCGTGAAGACGCTCATCACGGCACAGCCCTCTCTCGAGAGGGCGTACTGCGCGTGCTTCTGCGGGGAGGTTCGGGAAGGTTGGTCGAGCAGTTTTGCGGCGTGTGTCTCAACCAGAAAAGGATCACTCGGTAACGTTCAGCTTCAAAACATCAGATCATCCTCTTTGACAGTCGTTTAGCGCGGCGCGCCCTTCACAGAGAGCTGATAGAGCAAGAACCACGATTTTCGTCTGATCCGATACAATGAGAACCCACAGCCAACTACCCTCGAAACTCAACAGGAGCGAAACCAGAGCAGGAGAGAGCCAGACAGCAGCAGCAGCAGCAGCAGCAACAACAGCAACAGTCGCAGCAACAGGGAGAGGAGGAGCGAAGTAGCAGTAGTCGCTGCTTCGAGCTGCTGGGGTACGATGTGCTCATCGACGCAGACCTCCGCCCTTGGCTGCTCGAGGTCAACCACTCTCCGAGCTTCAAGTGCGAGACCCCACTGGACTCCAGGTGGGGTCGGTCAGCTTCAAGTGCGATCGGCACAAGAAAGAAAGAGCCGTCGCAGCGGCCTGAAAAGGGCGCAGACAACAAGAAAAACATGACACGCGGCATGGCCTCTTAGCAACAACGAACGAGACGCCCCCCCACCTCTAGTTTTCCTGGAGAAGGGGAGCGCTTCGTGTCGTTTCCTAGGAATGGCTAACGAAGACAACAACGCCAACAGCAGCAGCACACGTAGCAGCGACAACGAACAACACGCCACCTTAGTAGCCATCCCCCCCTGTTCCTCCCTCTACTCGCGTAAGCCTCCATCGTGGTGTCGACCGAATCGAATCGAATCCGCCTCAAACCGCTTTCCCTACTGCTTACAGCGTCAAGCGAGAAGTGATCTCCGATACGATGAGGGTGATCGACGTCCTGCCAGGAGGCTTCCGTCGGCGCAAGGCGCAGGAGGCCGCGAGGTCAAAACGCCGCCTGTACGGTAGCGCCGGCGGGAGCGCTAGGCCGGCAAGGGCGGCCAGCGGCCTCAGAATGTGCGGCGGCTTCAGCACGTGCGACGTCAACGATCTTCACAATGACAACGACAACACCAGCGACAGGTACAACCATAGCGCAGTCGAGAGAAGAAGCGCTGCGAGCGATACCGGCAGCAGCCGCTGCGGCATGAGTGGCGGGTTCGAGCTGGTTTATCCACCCCCGGAGGGGAAGGACTCGCCGCGCGGCCGGTCGTTTGCCCGGTTCTTGCGGTCGTCGCAGGCCCTGCTGGATCGCGCCACCGGGGCGGCAACGCCCCTCGCGCCGGAGTGGAAACCCCACCGCTACAGACGCACCTCTTGGCGCGGGAACGGTCGCCGTTCGTGGAGAATGGATCCAGAAAGCTACGCGGCGGGGAATGACGGGAACTGCCCGAATGAAGTGATCACGCCAACGTGGGAAGAGGGGAAGGAGGAGAGGAAGGGGGAAGAGGCCGTCATCGGTGCGACGGGGCAAGAGAATATTGACAAAACGGCCAGTAGCAGGAGGTCGAGGAGGTGGGGGGTATTCGACGAAGCTCAATCCGTCAGGAAGACGTCTACGGGTCGGGCGTGTCGCTCCTCGGCAGCAATGGTTGGAGACGCTGCCGCCGTCGGTGCTGCCGAGTCGGCGCGGACGCCCGAGAGATTACAATCGCCGCAAGGACGGAAGCAACGGCGACCAACCGATGAGCATCACCATTCGCATCGTCCTCATCTTGTCGCTCACTCCTCCGGGCAGCGGAGGGAGCTGCAGCAATACCACCAAGAGCCACGACCTCCACACCACGTGGCACATCGACAGCCAACATCGGGAATAGCCCGGTGTGCAACAAACCACTCTTCTGCTGCCGGCACGACCGCAGGGCGGGGCGAGCAACAACGTCTGCGACGGAAGCACACGATGCGCCTTCTGAGCTCCAACGCGGCTGAATGCGCGGAAGGCCTGGACTCCGGCCGCGGTAGTAGCAGCAGCAGCGGCAGCAACAGCAGCAGCGCACACTGGGAGTACGTGACCGCTCCGCGGCCAACACGGAAGATAAAATTTGTCCTCGAGACAGGCGGAAACCCCCGACGGCACGAAGCGGTAACAGCAAAAAAGACAGCCAGGCAAAAACGCCGAGCAGCCACGGCGCGAACAGGAAGGACGGCCGAGCTCCAGGAAGCAGCTACATGTAGAGCGACTAGAACAATAACGACAGCGGGGGCGGTGAATATCACTGAGGAGTCGTCGTCGCTATCGGCGGGCAGTAGCAAGCGGGGTTTGCATCGCTGTGACGCCGGGGTGCTACAGGACGTGACACTGGGGGCGCTCGCAAGCGATACCATGAGGGGTTTGGACTTTTACTCCCGCCGAACCGACGGCAAATGGACAATGACAGGAACCAATAACGAAGCCCCCTTTCCCGTCGACGAGGGCAACAAGAAGACCTCCACCAGGCCGCGGGTATTCGGCGATTTCAGCACGACTGCTGCCACCACCGCCGCCCCCGCCGCCCCCGCCGCCGCGGATATTGAGATCGACGAGCACAGCGACGGTAGCGGCGGTGGAGTAGGGCGTCGAGGCTCGACCACCCTCATCGGGTCCGCACCTCGCCTTGGATCAGCGTCGCCGCGCGTTCAAGGGTGTCCACTGCGACGCCGGCGGGGGCGGGAGCGGCGGCCAATCGAAATCACCACCGGCTCTGCACTGCAAATAAATGGTACGTTAGTGCTAGAGGCAACCCTGCCGCTACGGCCACGTTCTAGAGGAAGACGACCCGCACCATGAAGGCAAGGAGGTGGTTTAGAAAATAGGGTCTGCTTAGATGACGACGATGGCGAGGCGGTGTTAAGTAGGCGAAAATCCCGAACCGTGCATCGATGCTGACGATAGTGCTCTTCTTGAGAGGGGCTGGCTCTTCTCCCGGTGGCGTGGGGAGACAACAACGGCAACCGGGAAGATAGGGGCATCGAGCCGTTGTTTTCATAGCGGCGAAACCCCCGAACCCGCTTGGCTGAAAATGAGGAACGATTGCTGCTGTCCACTGTAAGTGTTGTTTTCTCACGCGCCCAGCCTTGAAGGCTCTAATCGGCGGGCGCGGCGCGGCGGGGGGCAATGATGGGTCTCACAACTGTCCTTTCTGTCAACATGATACTTCGTCGGTGTAGTTGGTGGTGTAGTTGGACGTTGTTGTTCTCTCCCGACAACAAGCAGCGCCAATGATTCTTCGCGGCAAATTTGAACCTCTTGTGAGACCATCTCACTGGACTAGGTATCCGCGGTGCCTGCGCAAGTTTCGAGTATCTGGAGAGTCGCGTGGTACGAAACCTACTCTCTGTTCTTCTCGTTGAGCTGGTGTGCATCTTAAATATCCCTGCCTGCCCGAGGTCTGCTCAGGCTCTTACGAAGAGTACCTCCGATCTTTGGCACGGATTCATCGTTTCTTGAGAGGTGGCTGGGTCCTTCCTATCTCGCTAAACTTGATTTGCTCTAAATTGGCCACACTTCAGGTGGTGATAAGTCCAAATTATCGAAAACACACAGAACGCGATCGCTTTTCGTAGTTCATCGCTGCCGGATGCCGAGCGTTGCAGCATTGGGCAAATCTGGACCAGAGCACAAAGGGCCAAACTTTGAGTGAATCCAGCTCGTGGAAGTGACTCGCGAAACCCGGATTTCTGCTACATCGCGTAAACCAACGCACCGGCGGCAAGTAGCGCTACTTGGGGTGAAAACGTTAAATCTCAAAGCAAGCACAGCGAAGAAGGCTGGCACAGACGAAATCAAGGCGACAAAGAACGTACTCAAGCCTGCCCGGTTCCCTGCGACACGAGACAAAGGGTGCCCCCCCTTCGATCGCCCCTACGTTAAGCAAACGGTGTTCGATGGCGCCGGGTCGTGCTGTACACAGCACAATGTGATCGTCAAGACAGAACATGCGGCGACCTGCCCCCTCTTGGCTTCAAAACAGCCGAAAACAAACCCAAGTACAACAACCATAAGAGGCAGACCCAGAACCACACAAGAACAACATCAAGAACAACGTCAAGAACAACATCAAGAACAACATCAAGAACAACAACAACAGAGATTAAAGGCGTGGGTGTCCTGCAGCCTGCTAGTAGTCACTCTCTCCTTGCAGCCTGGACTGCAAGCAGAAACATGCATCTTTCGGGTTGCCGCCATACTGTTGGTTGTTGAACTTGAAACAAAAACCCACAATGCTGACCCGCACCAAGTGCATACTGACTCACCCTCCTCACTACTTCAACCTGCAATAAAACGCATATTGTAGGTAACACCGCAACAACCACGAACGAGGTACAAGTACAGACAAAAAATTGACCCGGAGAAGTAAACCGTTCGAGAACAACGAAACAAGGCACAAACCGGACGACAAGTTCTTGAAGCGAAAGCCCGACCTTCGCGAACAACGAAACTTACTATACCAACGAGCTCGTGGTATCTCTTTCAGGTCTCTGCGTCTGCGGGTCTTTAAACTCTTTCCCTCGGGGCAAACGAGTGTCTCTTCTTCAGCCAAATATTCTCTCACTTCCCCGTACTCTTTGTTATTGTGCGAAACGTCACCATCCGTTCCGGATCAAGAACCCATCGATGCCATGTCTCTGAAAATCGCCGCCTCGGTGTCGCCGTACTTCTGCTCGTCCGCCGCGGCTTTGATATCCTCCACCAGCATCGCAAACCCTTGCACGAGGGCGTCTCGCTCCAGCTGCCAAGATCGTTGGCAATGAGAATGAGACGACGGAGACGAACAAGAAGAAACGCAGTAGAGCACAAAAAACAATTAGATTCTCGGTTGTCAGTGCGCGCGCGTTGCCGTATGGTGTTGGTTATTAACACTGCTGTTCAGCAGAAGAAACGAAGGAACGGATTTCCCATACCTCGCTTGCCGCCTCGAAGCCCATCGAGACGGACGGGAAGCACAGGGAGAAGCACGAGTCCTCGGGGGCCGACTCGCCGGACCCGATGATCAGGGAGTCGGACCCACCCTTCCCGGCCTTCGGAGGAGCAAGCAGACCGAGAAACATTTTGTGAATAGGGCAGGCAACAAAGAGTAGGTAGTGAAAACAATGTTCATATACGAACACTTTACTCAACGCAGCAGAAAAAAACACAATAGTGCAGAGTTTAGGGCGACAGAGTACATCAGCATGTTCTACAATCCAAACGTTAACCTGTTCCCCAGCCCGACTATTGCATGTTATCTTTAAGCGATCGTGTGACCACATCGGTCTGTGCCTTTTTTTTCGAAGCGCAGGGATGGTGCAATAAAGATAGAGGTCAGGGTGCCTGATAGTGTGAAAAAAATCAATTTACCAACACCAACACCAACACCAACAAATTGGGCGTGACCAAGATCTGTCAGGGAAGAGAGGGGAGAGGGCGTACGTGCTTGTTCGTAACCTTTTTGTGCAAAAACACGCGGTTCATGGCGTCATATTACTTGGGTTTCGTCGTCGCTTGTATCAGATGACCGATGGACCATATCGCATGCGAGAAGATACAAGAGAGAAAATACACGGTGCAGGTGGGTGGGTGGAGATGCTCAAAGTAGATTGCCTGCACCTCTGTCGAGACGAAGCATCATTCCATATACGCGTTCAGGTATGGTCAACGGGTTGCTATTTCCCTCTCCCTCTCCCTTCCACACACCCCTCCATCGCCCCACCCTGGTCCCCTCCCCAGTTATGTCTGAATTTTTTCCGAAGCACAGATTCGCTAACCTATCGTACAAATATTTTGATCATCGAGGTCGTTTTTTCCTGATTGTGCTGTGACAAAATGGATGGTCGGTACCATTTTATCTCTCGTGTAGCGGTGTCCGCTCAGCCGCTACAGCACACACCTGCACGCTAGTCACGCCTCCGAGGCTCTGCTTGTGCCACTGCTTCGAGCCGATGGCGCGCTTCGAGGACCACACGAGCGTGTCGGCGCCCTTGAGCCAAAGGGTGGTCTTCCTCGCCCGCTTGGACGTTCGGTGGATCTTTATCGGGAGTCCTGTTTTTCATTTCAGGAGGGGGGTGGGTGTCGGGGAGACGAGGGGCACAGAAAGCGCCCCCACTTGGAAGTTAAGAATTGAGCCTAAAAAATCAAGACCTAACTGCTTGAGCACCATTCGTGAACTCGGTTAGGAGCCCCTATACTAAAACCTATATAGTGGCAATTCGTGGCATGATCCTCCGCACCAAGAACCCCAGCCTCGGCCAAAATCAGAGGTTTTTAAGCGCGATGGGGTTCAAAGACCAGCACAGATAGTCGCAGGAACTGAGGGGGGCTGGGTGCGTGTGTGTTGAGGTACGTAGGTTGTGGGGCGGGGGGCAGAGTAAAAGCGAACGGCAGCTTGGCGAGGGTTCTTCGCGCGTGTAGGAGTCGTAGGGCGTTGGGTTGCTGGTCACAGAGTTGCGAATCACAGGAATGGAGGTTTCCGGGACATGTTTTGCAGGATCTATTCTGGTACAGAAACAACTCGTGTTTCGCCACACGCGTGTCTATCTTGAATGCGATTGAGGGTTAACGCTCGTGATCAAGGAAACTTTTGCATAGCCTTGAACGATTTAGTACGGATGTTCTGGAAGCTGTGAAGAAGTCAGAACGGTTTGTTGATATGAAGACAACAATGACAACAGCAACCAGTGAGAAGAAGATCCAACTCGCCCTCTGATAAGACTTCCATGAAGGTGCCGAGCAACGCCTCGTCTGCCGCGCTGAGGGTGGTGGGGGCAGCCGAAACCGTCGTCTTCCTGCTGCCGGCGTCGCTATCGCCGAGATCGCTGCCACCAGGAACTTGGACGACATCTGCAAGGTTTGTGCAAGACAGTATTGCATGCATACACGACAGAAACGCGCAAAACGTTGAGGAAAAAAGCCCCGCTCCTTGTCCTGAGTCTCGGACGCACGTTCCCTCTCAGCCAAAGGCAACAAGAACCAACCTTAAATAAATATATCTAATTATTGTTGGCGGGGGGGAAAAAACGCACACAACGACTCACATTACATAACCACCATCACTACGAAGAGGGAAAACGCGTGTTCAAATTAGCGCTGACATGGTAACCGCACGAAGGAGTTGTTTAGGGAAAGGACGCGTTGTTGATAGCAAGCTGGGATGCTTGGAAAGGTTCGACATGATGTAACGATGATATAAGACCCCGCCGGTGTGAGTTGTCTAACTTGACGACGGCGCTATCCTCGACTGTTACGTCCTTTTCCACAGGGGTTGGACATTCGTTGTTCACTGCTGGTGTTCCTGATGCCGCTCAGAGGCGTGTGATCTTTCACGGCTGTTTCTCCACTTACTTTCCACGTCTACGCCTGCCCAGTCGCCCGTGGCGTTCTTCTTTTCTCCCTTTTGTTCTTCGTCGTCGTCACTGTCGCTGCCGGCGAGGGCGAGCACCCCGGCCGACGAGGACTGCGGCGACCTTTCAGTCCTGCTGCCCAGCAGAGGGGAGTCCTCTCGGGGGGGGGACGGCGGCCCGCCCGTCGAATCGTCGGACATGAGAAAAGAGCGCCTCGACAAGGGCCGGGGCCCTCTGCCGTCCCCATACTTTGTCCCGCTGCTGTTCCCGCCTCCACCCCCACTCGTTCCGACGCCCACCCGGTGCCTCCGAGTCGATTGTCGCCGTTCCTCCGGACTCAACGATTGTTGCGTCCGCCTGACCTCTGCCATTCGCTCGGCAAGTACGCTTGGTGGCCTCGCGAGCCGCCGCTGCTTTTTTTAAGCGAAAAGGACGTCGGTTGTGCGTTGGGGCGAATTTGTTTGGTGAGAGAGACCGCCGCACACGCGCGTCGGGGGTAGCGGGGAGGGATAATGTGCGCAGATCCGTCGATCTGGTGTACAGCAAGTTTGTCGACTTTTGTACGAATGCATATGGCCGGGATCAATTCATGGAGGGGGAGCGGCGGTTCAGGCCTAAGGCTTCACGTATGACGCGGGTTTGCCCTTGGTTCTCTCTGCCGCTAGAGAGCTCGAGAATACATACACAGACTTGCACTACAAGTAGTTGACTTCTACGTGTTCATGGTCTGGCTACTTGTACCTGACCGAGAGAGCGACAACACACCTTGTGTCAAAAGAGTGTTTCATATCCGACGCAGCGACCGCATGCAACGGTAGCAATCGTCCCCCCACGTACGCCATTATTCTGGCAGGGCATGGAACTGCTTCCAAAGGAATACTCTGCAGAACTTGGGACCCCGAATGGAGATTGGGGTGATGAGGTTTCATAGGAGTAGGATGCAGAAGCATTACGTGCACTCTGGCGTTGCCGGACAGGGCAATGGGTTGCACGGGTTCCCGCGAGTGGTGTTTTCGCATGGGATGGTTGGGCTGCAAGACAGCATCATTCGCAAGTGCAAAAGACCGAACGGCGAGAGGAGTGGACCAAAAACTTGACAAAATTCGGCGGAAACGAGGTCACATGATCTGTACCTTTTGAAGGGTTACGTGTTTTCCTAATAGCTTTGCGCGGATAGGATCTTGTTTTGTGCAATTTCATGCTTGCTCGTGGAGAACGAAACGCTCTTGGGGCCACCTACATCGCTATCTTCCTCATGCCTGGTGATACTCGAACCCGGGCGAGTCGACAGCCTCATACACCAACTTTTGCTGACAGGGGCACTTTGTTGCGGTTGCAACAAAGCTAACCTACTTACCTCGATGCAGTTTCATTGCGGGAAGTGTCATGGACAAACCCTTGTCTACTCAGAGAACCGGTGGACGAACAAACGAAGATCTTGACGCGCCACCCACACAGGACCCTCCCCTATACATATCAGCCCACCACAGTAGAAGCTGATGTGTGGGCTTGCAGAAGACGAACTGCTGCTTCTATGCGTACGGATTCATACCGCATCTGCGGTTGCGCGTAAAGATCCGCCGAACAAGAACACTAACTACAGGACGTTCTGAACCTTGTCCACTCCGGCTCACATACCTGGCTCGGCTCGGGTTCGGCGAGTACGCTGCGGCGAACAAGGAAAGCTCCACCGGCCGCTAGCGCCACCAAGCCGAAGATGAACAGAAACACGACCATGGTCCCGTCTGGCACCGGATCGGATTCACACTCTCAGCGAAGCCCCGGGATATCTATGAAGTGTAGCTGTAGTCTAGCCAGGAAATCTTTGATCCCAATTACTTCCTCCAGTTGCTGTATGCGCGGGTTGTTCTCAACGCCCACGGCGTAGCGATCGTCAATCGTAAGCCACGTTCGGCTTACTAGTGCTTTGTCATGCAAATCCCTATGCGAAAAATATGATAAAACGTATCGCAAGCCCGTGGAGGAAAATATACCCACGACGGTTGGATCGTCCGCAGAAAATAGCACCGGGGGCACCCTGCCGACGACGTCGAGGTCCGTCCGTGTTGCAGCCACACCCAGCACCCAGCACCTGGTCAGCACTTCACACACACCTGATGTTTTAGCTATATGCACGGCGTGTGCAAAGGCAACGGGTGATAATAAATTGTTTACTCTCTTGTGACGACTTGTGGTCCCTGCACTCTGTTGGCAGTTTGACTATTTTCAACGGTACACAAGACGGCAACAAAGCCAAGATATTGAGTGTAGTGCAGATGCCGTTTCGCCCGACCAGATATGGAGGCGGTGCCTGGAACCCCCCATGCCGATTTCGATCTCGGTCGCGTCCCCCCCCCTGTAGCCCCCCATCACTGCCTGAAAGTCCTTGTGTCTCTCCCTGCGTATTTACCTCTCCCGCCACACGACAACACGATGAAGTTCTCCACCGTAGCTGCCTCGTTGTGCGTACTCGGAAGCGCCTCGGCGTTCGTGCTGCCGGTGCCGGCTAGGTCTGGTGAGTCGGAATTACATGTGTCGAACGTGCTCTCTCGAGCGCGGGTTGCGGACTGCAGCTGTGAGGTTGTTGCTGGTCTGTTGTTCATGCAGGGTAGCCCCTCCTGCTCGGAATCCCAGCGCTGCTGTCTCGGCCAGTCGGACTTGTGCGGTGTGTTATCGTCTCATCTCACCTGGTGGCGCCCGAGCTGTGCGCTTTTGGGGGCAGTGACGTAGGCGATCGTTGATGGTTTTGATTTGCTTGCACCTGCTGATTTACACACGCGCTGCTGACAGCGTACATTCCAAGTACGGATGCAGCGGGGGGGTGGGCAGCGGGGTGGGTGGGCATATCCCATCCCCCCCCCAATCCAACTCGTCGGCTCTGCGTTCGAACTGTTCGCGTACTAACTGTTCAGTTTAAGCTCTCGCCGGTTCTGTGTCTGGTATGCGAAAGAAGCCTTGAGGCCTTTTTGTGGTTGGACGCTGTGCCCGTTTGGGATCGTCTCCCTTGTGTGCGTTTCGGTCGAACTCTCTCAAAACGAAGACGACAGATTTTGTGGTAAAAGTACTTACCACGTTGTTTGCAGGAAAGAACAGGACTGAGAAGTGTGTGCGTATACGGCGTAAGGCGACCTGCTTTTCGAATTCCTATTCCAGCCTCCTTATCGGACAACTGCGCAAATCCCGCGCGTCTACCACACTTAGTCCTGCTTCCAGAGAGGCGGTTTGTTGCCTGGCTGGGTCACAGTAGTGAGTGTCCCGCGTACTCCATGTTTTTTTTTCCTGAGCGACATTTGTATTGGCTGTAGGTTTCGTTTGGTTGTTTGAAGTTGCGGTCAGCTTTGTGCAAGCGCACCCAAACTTTGCTGTTGTACTGCGGTTGATGATGTTGAGCGTGAATTGCAGGGCTCAGGGAATTTTTGTTTTTTTGTCCTGCTCCGCGCGGCCAGCACAATCTAGTAAATTGTAGAAGTAGCTCTCATATGCACAGCTGCGATACCGCCGTTCTATTTTCAGTACAATTAACTGCTGTAAATCTTACATACAAGCATGTTCCTTGCCGTCACGATTAGGCACATCAACAGGCGATTAACGGTGCCACAACGGGCCGTAGGCTTGTCTTGGGACCCCGAGCAAATAACACAAAATAAACTAACCTTTTTGTTGTTCTTGGTGACAACTGAGTGAAGACTCTCCACTCGTATGACCGGAAACCCGTCGAAATTTCAACTGCGGACGGACGGAAATACGCGTCTGTTTCGCGATTGCTGCGTTGCCGCGCTTCGTCGCGTAGTATTGTGTCATCCACACACCCACGCCCTTGTTTTACCTTTGATTACCTTCTTTGGAGTTGGCTAAGATTTCAGCGGCGGTGCGATCTCGTTCCCTGGGCTGTGCCCCCCCCCCCCCCCCCCTCTGAGTTGTGGCTGTGGCGAGTTTGGTTGCAATGGGGGTTGTTTCTATGTTGACCTGCCTCAGTGTTGGCTTTTGTTTTATTTTTCTTAATATGACACAACGAATCCATCTCTATCATAGAAAAGAGTCTGAGACAGATTAGCAATGAATTCATAGAGTCAGAAACTACCTGTGTGTCTACGATTTCCCAGACAGCATGTAGGGACATCTCCCCTGCGGGTAACAGGCTCAACAAGACAGTTTGGTAGCTGTCTTGTGTGTCTCATATATGTTATGTTGGGAAGGTGCAGAGGATATGTGTTAGGTACTGGTTGTTGGCTTTTGAATTTGTGACAGGCGCAGATTACACACACCTCTTGAGCTCTTGTAAACTCTTGAGTTGAATGCTTCATTTTTTCCAGCGTGTCGGCGGTCTGGGCCTGACTACGTCAACAATGAGGGTTGCTTCTATGTTGAACTGCCTCAGTGTTGGCTTTTGAATTTGTGACAGGCGCAGATTACACCTCTTGAGCTCTTGTAAACTCTTGAGCTGAACGCTTCATTTTCTCCAGCGTGTCGGCGGTCTGGGCCTGAATACGTCAACCAATGTCCGCGTTTGTTTTTGCTGAGCATGAACATATGTGTCTCCTTCCTCCCTCGGTCTGTGTCTTTGTCGTGGCCGTCGCAGCCGTTGCAACTCGGATGTCGTCTTCCCTTGACGAGGCCGCGGCGGAGAAGGCCAAGGCGCGCGAAGCCCTCATCGGATCAGCGGGTATGGAGCAGTTGATCAAGATGGTCGCACAAGACGATGGCGAGGTGAGGAGAAACAGAAAACACGAGATGCAAACTCGAGCACAACAGCAGCCTCGATGATGGATGTTTGTCCCCGTTGGGAACAACGGCAGAGCAGTCGGAGCGCTTGTGACCGCACGAATGAATCCGCGAAGGAATCCGTTGGTTCCGTGTGAAATGTCCCACTTGGAAAGACCAGCCAGTTGTGGCCTTTTTTTTTCGGCAGTGGCATCTTGTCCTGGTATGCGGTGGGAAGAGGGGCAGTGTGTGCCCCCGGCATCAACGAGCCGTCACAGCACTAGTGCGGTGTGTTGGGCAGTGAAAGAGGGAGCAGCGTGGACGGGTAGATGAACAGGGGTATTTAGCAGTAGTCACCGGCGACGCCAGAGCTTTTGTACAGAGAGGGGGTGGACGCCTCTATTTAGTGGCTCTCGATCCTGAAACTCTGTTTTGCCTCCCAAACTGGCTGGCTGCTCGCCTGTGTCATTCACGTACCTACGATTCATCGTCGACAAACAATCGCACCAGGTTGAGAACCGCCTCCATACCTACGACCCCATTGCCCCGAGGTGTTGGACCTCTACTACACCAGTACTGTACAAGCGAGCAGGCACTGGCTCTTGTAATCAGATTTGGTCTCGCCAGAGGCGCGTACACACATGCTGTCGTAGCGCACCGTCGTCTCGGTTGATTATGAAACAGTCGAGGTTCAAGATCGACGTGCGTGCATGTGTTTGTCGCACAAAATGTCCTATTTATTATCACGCTTTGTCATACGATTGTCGCCCAGAACGCTACCAAGGCAAAAAAAAAAAAAACGTGATGCGAGAAAACGTCGCTCGAAGCAGGAGGGTCATGGAGCGCAGCCTGTACGGCATTCCAACGCTTCGTGTTCAGTGCCGCGGAACATCCGCTGAAAATCAACCCACTCCTTGTGTTCCCTTGTTTGTTTCTTGAATCATTTCAGGACGAAGAAGCCCCCCCCGCCAAGGCGGCGCCGCCTACCCCGGCCTCGCCACCGGCCGGAAACTAGTTCAAATTAGACGTCCATGCTGCTACTACTGCTATCATCGCTGGTGCCATGGTTCCGGTTTCCGGTGCTGCTGCCGCAACGCTGCGGCGGATGCTCTGCTGCCGGTGCCTTTAAACCACGCGGTGGTGGTCAGGACGTACAAATATTTTTTCTTGAACGCCAGCGGCGTTTTTGATACGGGGATGGAATTGACAGGAGGATGAACGGTACAACTGTAGTCCAATTCATCCTTCGCTACTCTGCATGGCGCGCATGTAGTGACTTTTTTTCAATTTCATAGACTTGGAGGGGGGGGGGGGAGGGCATTTGGACATTGGAGTTCGTCTCATTGAGCGGAATTTTGTGAAGTTGCAGGTGTCTTGTTTCAGCTGGTAAGGCGTGTTGATGGGGCTGACTTTGCTCGCGTTAAATCCTTCTCGGAAAAGAGGATACAAGGAAAGGACTGGTGAATAGAACATAATAGATATGTCTTCCCCCCCCCCCCCCCTCTGGACGTGATGCGTTCTAAGCCGGGTGCCCCCTGGGCTCGGGGGAAGCCAGCACTCTTGATGGATCACGAGCAGGGGCCGAGGGTTTCGTTGTCATTGCGCCGGGTCGTGCACGCGGCAAACGTCTTCTTTAGGCCTTGTGGCGGCCGGTGTTGGGTGGAAGGCCGGTCGGTATAGAGATTAGAGCACGCGTGCGGAGGAGGGACATTACAGCGATTGGTTTTCGTGACGATAAGATTTTTTTCTCCCATAATCGTTTTGTTCAAAAGAAGAGCCACCAACAATTCATTTTTATCGGATCGACGAAGACTCTATGGACACAAGCTGAGCTCGTTCGCGGCGTATGATGGTGCTCCCCCGCTCAGAGCGTCTGCGTATCCTGCGCGAATGCCTGTTCTTAATTTCTCCCCCGCGGGGAACATGATTGCAAGGCGACGACGGCGAGATGGTTGTGCAACCAGCTGTCTTTCTGACAGACCAATTGGACGTACGTGTGGGCATGCATGTGTGCAGAAATATGCATACCCGCTTCCGGCAATTCGCTGCCGGATTCTTGTAGCTTGTCGGCTCCCCGTTTCGGCGCCCTGCGAAGTGACAGCCGTTGGGGCTTACTGGCTGTACTTGAAGACTAAAAGTCACCTAAGTAGGATGCCCATCCGTCCATCTGACTTATACACCGTTCAGAGAAGGTGCATACATACGTGGTTTGGGGCGAGGCAAGTCAAACGGTTGAGCGAGGATCCTATGACGTGCATTACGTGGCCTGGGGGGAGGCCATAACAGCAAATACAACGGTTGAGGGACACTCAATGCCCTATTTGTACATAATTTCGGATACAGCATGCCCGGGTTTCACCGGTCGTTGTGGGCAAGAGAACTACTACAAATAATCACAGCAGTAATGAACACCGACATTACTTGTATTGTCTTTTTCTTAAAAAATATACGTACATGAGGCGTACGAAATTTGAGCTCAGCCACCGTACTACTCCTAACTGCTGTAGGTTAGTAGGTATTGCCTCTGTGTTCAACCGTGTTGAGACACGGCAGCCGCACGCAGTCACGGCGCTCAGGAGCAAATAGCACAGCCTTATTCTGATCGTTCCTGCCGGATTTTTTTTTTTTGTTTTTGTTAAGGGTGAGATCCGCACACGTCATGACGTCTCGCCCCCCGCCTTTTTCTCATTGTTTTCGTTCCCACCAAATTCCACACACAGCTTGACACAGCAGTCCTCCTCCTCCTCCTTCAAGAAGGCCCGCCACCGCCACCAGCTGAGCTGTGTCCCAACCGAAGACCAGCCACGCCACCAAGATGAAGCTCTCCGTGTTCCTGGTGCTCCTCCCGTCCGTGTCGGCGTTCGTCTCGCCAAGGCCGGTCGTGTTGAACAACCACCTGCAGCGGCAGCAGCAGCAGCAACGCTCGTCGACGCCGACCGCGGTAGGCGCGTGGAAACAGGCCAACGGCGAGGGGCCGTGGTCTGTTGCCACGCTGTGGCGCGACGTGGTCGGCTCGGCCATGAACAAGGCCAAGGTGGACTCGACGGTGAGTAGTGAGAAGAGGTAACAAGGGCCGTGGGGTTTGTTTGTGTTCACGCGATCGACCGTGGTTTGAATCACACGCAAAAAGAGTAATTTCGGGGGTTAGACTGCTACGCCATCTGTCGTTCTGTCCTTTTTGCCGATCGGCCCTGCCGACCCAAACGGGCGATGTCCACACCATGCCACCTCTGCGTCTGTAGCGCGCGCCCACAGGCTGCTGGTGTCGTGCTTGTTACCCCTCCTGCTTTGGTGGTGCGCTCGAGCAGACCTCCCCCTTACTCGCATCATGCCGTACTCCTAAAAATATCACGTTGGGTTTTTGTCTATTTGGTGTCTGGCGGGTGTGGACGTTGCCAACCGATGGTGTTGTGCGAGCTGTTGTATGATGCGTTTTGTCCGAGCGACGCGCGGGTTCCACACGATGGCAGTAGCCGCCCCGCCTCTCTTCCCACTAGCTGTTGCTGATGTCGTCACAGTTTACCGCCTATGCATTTGCTGCGCTGCTGCTGCTGCGCACCCCGTTCCATTTTCGGAGCGAGCGTTGACAACGCCGATCGATGTGCCCTTGTCCTGTAGGATGAATTGAAAACCAACCGCAGTTTCAAGCAGCCGTGCTGCGCCTTCTTGCCCCTCCTACTATGTTTGCTTTTGCGCGCACCTCTTGGCGCTCTGTGCTCCCCCCCCCCCCCCCCCCGCCGGGGCTTACCCTTTTACGCTTGGTTCGGTTCCCCCCCTCTCTCCAAAGGCGCGGAAGCCTACCACGAACTCCAGAAAAAAGGGCTGGTCCAAAAAGAAAAGCAGTCTTTGGAGGGGCAACTGAACTCCCTCATCCCCCTCCAGGGGAAAAACATGTCCTGCAAGGGGCCTGCCCTGTCTCCCGAGAACACGGGTCTAACCCTCCCCCCCCCCCCCC